TAGGGCTTTAATGGTTTAGTATGTTCATTAAGACCAAGTATTCTGTCGTTTATACCAAGTAAATCGTCTAATTTTAATTTTAACAAACATCAAAAAAACTACTCATTTTCTCAAACTTTGATGAATTTTAAAATTAAACTACTTGTCGTAAGGCCGTAAATTTTGAGTAAGTTCTATAAGACCATGATATATATCGCCAAACAAAGTTCCATAAAAATTGGCTTCATTTTTTTTTCAAGTTATTAGATAGATTTTCACATAAAACTAATCAGTATCATTCCCAACTAACATCTTTCGAACAGTTTTTGATTTTTTAAAATTGATTCGGTAGTTTGAGCTTAAATGTGGATGAAAAATTTAACACTTTTTCCAAATGACAAAGAAACGACTCGACAGATCGTCGCACAAAACTGACAAACGATAGTCCTCATTGAGATACATCAAATGGCTTTTAAATTCTGAAATCGGTTCAGGCGTTTTTGAGCAAACGCCGATGAAAGGTCTAATTTGACAAATGCCAAAAAACGATACTAATTTTTGCAAACTTTGAAGAATTTTTAAAATTAAACGACTTGTCGTAGGACCGTAATATTTTAGTATGATCTACAAGACTATGGTATCTACAGTCAAAAAAAATCATAAAAATCGTCGATTTTTTTTTTTTAAATAAACTTTATTACAAGAAACGGCCCGGCTGATCTTTACCAAAACCAATCAGCACAATTCCCAACCAATATTTTCAATTTTCAAAATCGATTCATAATTGCGGGCTAAAACGTGAACGAAAAAATTTTCACTTTTCTGCTATTTAGAAAGAAACGGCTTGGCCGATCGTCGCACAAAACTGACAAACAATAGTCCTCATCGAGATACATCGAATGGCTTTTAAATTTTTTGGTTCAGCCGTTTTTGAGAAAACGTCGATTTACGACAAAAAATCTGTTCACACACACATACACTTTTCGTCCAAATGTTGGTCTCATTCGATTCAGAATGGCTTGAAATATAGACAAACATAAAATTAGCGAGTCGGATTTTTGATAAAACATAAGCTTCTCCTTCGGGAAGTTAATAATTTTTTTTATTATCTCTTTTTTACAACTGTCCAGTAAAGGACATTCAATAAATTTGATAAATTTACAATAGTCGGCCGAAAAGGGACATTGTATACTACATTGGCATGTTGGAAAAAACAACTCAGTAGTTTGTTTTTTCCATTCGATATAAAATTCACAATATTTTATTGATAATTATATAATTTTAACTATTAAATATAATAAATAAAGAAGTAAACATTGATCAACTAGAGTATATCAAGGATGCAACTAAGGATGTCATCAACTGAAGTACAATAAAGAGTCTTTAATATATAGTTTGTTGGACTATATATTAGGTTGTCAAATATCTCCCTTCCGCTTTTTTGCTCTTGGTTTATAATACAAAAAGGCGGAAGGGAGATATTTGACAACCTAATATTTACTTTATAAATGATTGAAAACACGACTTTGATCAATATTTAATCCGATGAGAAAAAATTGAACATGTAAAACTTTTCAGATCAGAACAATATTTTAATGACAAGTATAACAAAAGATGATTATGTTTACTGAGATCACTTTTGGCTATATGTCAGGGGATTCCATAAATATTTTATTTCCTTACCTCTTTCTTTCCTCCAGAGACTCCTCCAAGCCAATAGACGCCTCCTCCGCTGGCGTAATCTCTGCCCTTGGCCCTTATGCTCTCGCTCAGGAACCTCATCTCGCCCTCGCCAAGAACACTCGCCAAGGAGGCGCCGCCGCCCGAATCGGAGCAGATCTGACGCGCCGTCCTCCATCTCGCAGGAGGATAGGCCGATATCAAGTAGCAGTGGCCCTCGAAGAGCAGCTGGCGGTCGTCTCCGCACTCCGTGGAAGCTGGGGGAAGAAATTGATGGTGAGTTATGTAAAGAAATTATAGATTGGAGGAGGATGACAAATCATTTTCTGTTCTTGTATTGGAAATACGCAAATCACGAGTAATTTGTGGTACGATACGATATTATGTGTCATGGATAAGAGATCAATCAAATATTTGTTGGATTTTATATATTTATGTATATATATATATATATATATATATATACATATATGTATATAATGAAAAAGTATATCAGATCAACAAAAAAGTTTTTTTACACAAGCTTCCAAACAATTATTATCATTAGATCTTCAATACGTTTCTTGTCCTAGTTTTGATTTTTCTTGAATGTATAAATTGCAAAATACAAGAGAAAAATAATACAATAAATATTTAAAATAAACTAGTCGTTTATGGCATCGTGCCTTAAGGCAATTATCTAGAAATTCCCGTGAAGTAATGAAAAATTCGAGAAATATTAAATGTTTTTAAATAGATTATTATAAATACTGTAACTTATATATGTTTATGGAAAAGTAAATAAACAAAACTTAATCAATCGAATTTAAAATTAAGGACATTGTATAATATTTTTAAGAATTATATAAACTGAAATGCAAAGTTAAAATTACTTGTTTGAAGATAAAATTGAGCTTTAAAACTTTAGCTAGAATTTAAAAAAAATTAAATTATTTTCAATATTAAAATTTTTTTTTGGAAATAATTTTTTTTTTCGTCCACAATCATTTGTTTCGTCAACACAAGCAGGAAGTTTTTTGAATCATTCAAATCGGATGCTTAGTTCTCTCAAAAACTTCCATTTTTTGCACATTTAGCTCGGTATCTCCAAAACGGCTGGACCTGCCTTTGCCCAAAACTAATCAGCACATCTCCCTATCAATAGGAATCGAATGTTTTTTGAACCATTCAAATCGGTTCATCTGTGCACCCGAAAACGTTGACAAAAAATTGTATCCATATATATACACACACACACACACATCAATTTTTTCTGAGGTATGCCAATATGTTCAGAAACCTTCAAAACGTCGAGAAATTTTCATTTTTGATTTTCGGCCCATTACAATAACTACCCTACGGGAAGTTAAAAAATAAATTAATATAAAAAGAAAAAAATAAATTATATTTAAAATTTTTTTAATGTCTTATATTTTAAATTCATTTTTGAATAGTTGCTAAGATTTTTTAAGATTTCAGGGAATTTTCAAGACTTTTTAGGCTCAAAATAATTAATTTCAAAATTTCTAAATTTACTGAATAATGCCTAATAATTTTCTGAATAAAAATGTACTTATTCAATAAAAATTTCCATTATCTCTTAAGATTTTTCAAGATTTTCCAAAAATTTTGAATTTACACTAGTAATTTTTAATTTTTCAAAAATAGTATGGTTTTAACTTTGTGTTTTCGATTTTCCCAGGTTGATATATTTCCTGGGTTAATGGTAAATTGAAAATCAATTCACTATTTTAAATTAGATTAATTGTTACTTGATGGTTAAAGAGGTTTATATATAAAATTTCTTATATAAAAATGTTTCTATATATAAGATCAAAAAATCATAGAAAGATCTATCATTTAGATAAGTATATGTTGTATATATATATATATATATATATATATATTATAATAAATCAGAATTCCACTATATATTTCAAGACTGTCCTCTTAATAAATTATCTCCTAAGAACTAAATCCCTCAGCACATTTATTATATTTATTATCAACCCATCCACTTTTATGCACACAAACACACACACACACACACACACACACACATATATATATATATATATATATATACATATATATAATATAAACATTGTATTTTCTTTTCACATTCAATATTGAGAATGAAATTTAAAAAAAAATTTAACGAAGATAAAATATGTATGCAAATAGATATACTAATGATAATTAAGCTAGTAGTCTTTGAATTGCAATTAACTTAAATCTTAAATAATCAGCTATTATTATTCTTTGATTTTTTATATTGTTAATGTGAATATTTATATTGTAGATAAATATTATCACTCTTTAACTAAAATACGATGATCCTTGATAGGTTTTGGCAAAAATATCAGATGATATAATAGTGGTCTTTTAAAATAAATAATATAGCCAATATAATTTGCTTTGTACAATTTGTAAAAACCAAAACTGCTCCTTAATCCTTTATTTTTTGGTGCATTGAAAGTATAATTCATTCTTTTCATATTAATGTTTTTTAAGTTTCCAATAGTACATACTTATTCCAAATATGTCACAATTTATCTAAAAAATAATCAAATAAAAATATTAATAATATTATATTGTATTGTTGAATTAATTTTATATTGCAGATATGATTTTTTATAAACTATAAAATAAAGACTACTAGCTTAAAAGTTAATAGCATTTGATAAAAGGTTTAGGAAAAATTATATAATTTTTGTATAAAGTCAGTAAAATGTATAAAAGTACTTTAAAATAATTAAATTACAAAATCAAACAGTGTAACAGTCAAACCGGTCACCTAGGTCTTGTATATCAGAATTATAATTATAATATCATAATCATAATTCATAATTCTCATACTCAATTTATAAATAATTTGTTGTTTAATTGTTTGAATTTGAATAATTAAAAATATTATAATAGTGACTTTTGGAGGTTAACTTCTGAGTGCCACCTAATAAAGCCTAATTTGCATATGATTCTAATAACTGATTATTGGACATAACTAATTAATAAGAAATAACTAAATTATAAAAACCTGCAGGAGTTTCGTCATTTTAAACAATATTTTATCACAAATTTATCAACAAATTTTAAGGACACCATTTTGTATGCAAATGTCAAATCCTTTATTTATCTATTTACTCCTGTTATCAGGCAACTTCATGTTGGATGCTGTTCTATGCAACCAACTTCAGGCAACACTAAAAAACATTTTCGTTATTGCTGTTGAACTGTCAGTCGGGTATAAAAATTATGTTCGTTAAAATAATAAATAATTAATGGTAATTATTATTAAAGTAGTCTGTGTTGAATATATAAACTTATATGCATTAATTTTGAATTAAGTGTTATTTGTGTAGGATGTGCCAAGTTATTATACAGGTTGCTGAAGGGTGATGCTTCCGATGACAGGTTAGTGTAAATTTAATTAAATAACTAATAATAATAATGTATGATTGTTATTTATATGAAACTATTGTTAATTGATGCAATCCGCCTACAATCTTTTTATATTGACAACAATCAAAACGCTTTTTCGTCAAAAATTGTCAACTAAAATTTGCGTACATAACCTCACTTTTTATTCGCAAAATCTTGTCCCATGCTTTCACTATACATATACTAGCTGACCCGAAAACGTTGTTTTGCTAAGTAAGTTTTATTCTAAACAATTTCTAGAGAATCAAAAATATTAATACTTTAAGTGTATAAGGATGTATTGTTTGAATGCTACATACAATGAGGTATTAAAAAAGCAATAAACCCCATTAGTTTTCTACATTTTGTCAATACAATCAAACTGCAAGTTTTATACACTTTCTATAGAAAACATGGTATAATCCATCCAAGTCTTTTTTGGCCTTAGGACTTATTGATTACGTTTCAAGTCTTTCAGATTCTTTTTGGATTCGAAATTTTGTGTATAATTGTAAATAATACTACTGAGCTTATACAAAATTTTCAAAATTCTGCGAGGAGAGATAGAAAATGAATTAAGTATTTCTTCTTCGACTTGCTTTTTGAATTGCTTCAAGTAACATTCGATGAAAAAAAGTAAATTTAATAAAAAGTATAAATGTAGAGCAGGGCGGGCCACAAAGGTTCAATTTGACTTTGAGCAAATATAAACTATATTGTGAAATCCAAACCAATTATATCACAACGAATAACACTTTTCAAACGAACAATTATCTGACTATGTTCAGTAAAACTGCCAGCTACTTCATCATTGTAGAAATGTGATTTTTTGATGTCTTTCAAAAATTTGTTATCTAGACCTTTTTACCCCGGAGCAAACAGGTTTAATGTGTAATTTTAATTTTAAAGGTATTTTTCATAATAATTACATTTTTAACTAATGCTAAAAAACTACCAACGAAAGAAAATACTTTTATTATGGATTTTCAAAGATTACCGTTTATCTCCCGATAGCAGTCATGAGAATCAAGGTTATAGCTGGTTATACATCTTTTTCCCTCTACTTTCAAATATTGTTGTTAACCAATGCTTAACTTTGCTGGTTTTTGACACATCGGTGGTGGACCTGTTTAACCCCGGGCCTTCATATATTACTATCTATTTTTCGATAAATTCTGGGAAATTTCAACTGGGAAAATGTTATTCGACAAAATGTCCCTTTGGTTGACACCAAATTTAGGTTCTGAATTTAAATAACATGAATAAAAAATAATATAACATAGAAAATGTTTTATAAATACCAATGAGTATATAATTATACAAATGAGATCTTTCAGAGCACCGTATTTGAGAAAAATATGATTTGCAAAAAAGAGTGCTACAACGCCAAAAAGTGCATTTTCATATTAACATTTCAAAAAAGTTGATATTTTGAGTTTCTAGTAACACTTGCGATCGGTTTAATAACGTTGTTATGTATAAATAAAACTACGAACAAAACTACATACTACTATTTAATTATAATTAAATAATATTCACGTAAAACATCCTATTAAACGTAATAGAACATCATCTGCCAAAAGCATTTGACACTTGACGTATTAGCCACCGTCCATTGTTTTATTCAAATTACGCTTCTACAAAAATGTTCAAATTAAAAATGTAAAGTTTCTACGCGATTTTGAAATAATATCTCACCTTTCCGACAACCTACTGATTAGCACGAATTTTTCAAGACTAAGACTGGCCAAATCGGTTTAGCCGTTTTTGAGTTTAAGCGGATCATTTTATCGAGAGCTCCATTTTTATATGTAAGTTAACTACAATCATCAATAAATCCACTACCCAAGGTGTAAAATTCAACATTCCCCATACAATTCTCAGTCAGTCAGTCAGTCGTTTCCTCCCGAGTAATTTTTCTATACAACTACCGCCCTTTTGTCGTAGTGCTCCTTTCCTCTTCTTATTGAGGAATGGGGGGCCGGGGGGCACATCGGACGAGAATTAATGATGGCACATCCTTTTGACAAATCCACAGGAATTCCACTCGGTCGTTCATAATGCCAGTAGGTGGTGATATAGAAGAGGTGTCCTTGGTTCACAAAGGGATGAAAAATAGATAGATGTGATGGAGGAAAAAAAGTAGTAAGGATAGAGAAATGGAGCTGGGAAGTGGATTGTAGACGGATTTAATGAATGAGGAGATACCTCATTGGATTTGGAAAGGTTTTGAATATTTTCTAAGATTTTCCAAGATTTTTTGGTATTTTCCAAAATGATCATTCTTTTAAATTTTTCCAAGTTTTTTGAATATATTTTGCAAGATTACAGAAAATTTCCGAATATTTTTCATCATTCCTATATTTCCTTGAGTATTTCTCAAACATCTTCAAAGATTTTTACTATTTATCAAGATTTTCCCAGATATTTGTTAGTTATGAATTTTCAATTTATTCCAAGTTTTAGCAAACTTTTTTAGTCTATTTGGAATTTTTCATGATTTTCCCAAACATCTTCAAGATTTTTACTATTTATCAAGATTTTCCCAAATATTTGTTAGTTATGCATTTTCAATATATTCCAAGTTTTAGCAAACTTTTTTAATCTATTTGGAATTTTTCATGATTTTCCCAAACATCTTCAAGATCTTTACTATTTTTCAAGATTTTCCCAGATATTTGTTTGTTATGAATTTTCAATACATTCCAAATTTTAGTAAACTTTTTTTAGTTCATTTAGAATTTTTTATGATTTTCCCAAAAATCTTCAAGATTTTAACTATTTATCAAGATTTTCCCAGATATTTGTTAGTTATGAATTTTCAATTTATTCCAAATTTTAGCAAACTTTTTTTAGTCTATTTAGAATTTTTCATGATTTTCCCAAAAATCTTAAGATTTTCACTATTTATCAAGATTTTCCCAGATATTTGTTAGTTATGAATTTTTAATATATTCCAAATTTTAGCAAACTTTTTCAATCTATTTGGTATTTTTCATAATTTTTGCACAATTGTGAATATTTTTGTATTTTATTCAAAATTTTAAATATTTCTCAAGATTTATTAAAGTATTAGAAGATTATCAATTCTTTGTGACTATTTTTCAATAGTTTTCAAGAATTTTTAATATTCATCAATATTTTCCAAGACAGTTTTAATATTTTCAATATTTCTTATTTATTATTTCAAGATTTTTTGTGATCTTCAATGCTTTCCAAACTTTTTGATATTTGTCAAGACTTTTGGATGCTTTTTAAGGCATTTCAGATTTTTTTTTAATATTCTGTGAATATCACATATTTTTTAATATATGTGAATATTGATCATGACTTCAATTTTTTTTTTTAATTTTCTAAGATTTATTAACACGTTTCAATATTTTCATAACTTTTGGTTATTTATCAAAATTTCCAAAAGTATTGGAATATTTTCTATGATTTTACATATTTTACATTTTTTGAATTTGTCAAGATTGTCCAAAGATTGACGCGTATTTTTCAAGCCTTTTTAAGATTTTTTAATGTTTTTCAAGAGTTTTCAAAATTCCTTTTCAATTTTTTTTAATATTTTACACCTTTTCGACTTTTTGAAGAAAAACGTATTTTGAAATATTTTGGAAATTCTGAACTTTTTTTCAAAGCAATCGTACTGCTTTAACTGCATAGAGACGAAATATCGAAGCGCGTAAGCGCCGCGTCGCCGTCTAACGGTTAAACATTGGTACGCAACCCATAGGAATGTAAACAAAATTTATACTTATTGTTAAATTCTCTATAAAATATCTGATAATTTGATGTGCATATGTCTAATGATCATTTTTGATCCCCAAATGGCATTTTTTTTTACTTTTTTCACTAGATCTCCGAAACCGCTAGACCTGCCTTCCCAAAAATTCAATCAGTTCTTCATCATGTTAATACAAGTAAAATGTTTTTTGAATTATTCAAATCGGACGCTCCGTTCTCTTAAAAACTGAGTTACCGTTTTTGGCACTTTTTGCCCCATATCTTCGGAACGGCTAGACTTGCCTTCGCCAAAAACTAATCAGCACGTCTCCTTATCAATACGAATCGAATGTTTTTTGAATTAATCAAATCGCTTCATCCGTGTTCCCGAAATCGTTGACGAAAATTTGTATCCGCACATACACACATACACACACACCTACATCCATTTTTTGTGAGGTATGCCAAAATGTTCAGAAGAGATATAAAAATTTTCATTTTCGATTTTTTTGCGATTACTATAACTTGCCCTATGGGAAGTTAATATTTATTTTTGTATTCGCTTCTGCGCATCGCGAAAATTTCTTTAAAAATAATAAATCAAGGTCCAAAAAATATATATTTATCTGAAATTTGTTATAAAAAAATTCTTCAAGAACTTTTAGAAAACATCTTTTACAAAATTATTTTCTCTCAACCCAGTCACCCATATTGCCCTTCACCATTCACATCAAGCAACCAAAAATATTTTGAACCAAAACTTACGGCTTTTGAGAGAAATTCTCGCTTTGAATCCTCCATAATTCCTTGAATAATCCGACACAAACTTCATAACAATTTGCGACCCCTTGCTCTCGTATCGAAGCAGCTTCAACTTGCTGCTCCAATCACCACACCTGCGCCAGACCGTCGAATTGACACCACTGGTTGAAGGCTCTCGGATTTCTAGATAATCGTAACTGCAACTGAAAAGAAAAAGATACAGTAATATCTTGAGGATTTATTAGATACTAGCTGACCCGGCAAACGTTGTTTTGCTAAGTAAGGTATATTCTAAACAATTTCTACAAAATCAAAAATATTAATACTTTAAGTGTATAAAGGATGTGCTGTTTGAATGCTATATACAACGAGGCATTATAAAAACAATAAACCCTATTAGTTTGTCTATATTTTGTTAATACAATCAAACTGGAAGTTTTATACACTTTCTATAGAAAACATGGTATAATACAATCCAAGTCTTTTTTGGTTTTTCGACTTATTGT